TGTTTATTTCATGTGTTGCTACAGCATGACCGATTGTCTATGCTAGGATTACAGACAGTGCATTGTGAATGAAAATGGTGCGAGCATGTGACTTAGATTGATAATTAGATTTTTATTAGTTTGATAAAAATAAATATTTAAACGAGGAATATGAGTATCCCGTCTAAATCTTTTGCCAAGTTTCTTATAATAAACATTGGCAAATGATTATATTTTAGAAAGAAACGATTATGGAATAGAAATTTTATGACAGATAGAAGACGGGAAGGGACGGGACGGGTCAGGACGAGACGGAAAGGAACAGGACGGGTTTCCATTCTAAACTACACATAAAACAATTCAAAATAAAGCCAAACCCAAATCCGATTGAACATCTCTAAGCAAACAGTTAGAAATGTTTTGATTAGTTTAAAAAAAAAACATGTAATATCACTTATCATTTTCATTTAAAAAATGTTAAAATTGTAATTTTAAAATTTTATCATGTAATACAATATCTATATTTTACAACTGTATATCTATATATAGTTTATCAAATAAACTCATATAACAAAATTTTACCGAAATAACATCTACTTAAAAAATCGTAATTTTGTAAAAATAACTTCGCACGTACGTGCGGGTCCATCACTAGTTTTTAAATTAAAGGGCCAATGAAAGTTTCACTATGCTTTAGATATATATAATAGCTAGTATTCTAGTGTTAGTGTGTGTGTATGTAGATATAATATGCATGCCTTAATGTACACGCATATGATCGTCAAGTAAATATACTTTATTTACACTCCTGACGTTGCATGGCAATCCTGTTTTATAATTTATGATACATAATGTTTACACAATTAAATTAACGCATTCGGCATACATTAATTTATATAGTCTATATATGAATCAAAACGAATATGAATAAGCTTATAAACGAACCAAAAATATGTTTTTTTTTACATAATTTGGTAATATATTAAACTGATATCAATCGACCAAATCGAATATAATAGTGAATTCCATTTAAAAAAAATTCGCATTTAGTTAAACTTTGGAAAAAAAAAAACAATCTAAATGTATACAACCCTATCAATTCACTTATTATACACATGCTTAATTAAGCTTAGTAATATTCTATCTTTTTAGAGCAATTTGATCTTAAAAAAACTAATTCACTTGAGAAAAGATTGCCATATATTGATATAGGTGAGGAGTCAATTCTCTTTGGACGAAAAAATAACTAATCCTTCCAATGGTCCTGTCCATATGTTGTCATATTTTACATCCATTACAATATCATAAGGATGAGTGAAATACTCAATAATTATACCCATCTGAACAAATTAGTGATAAAAGTCAAAATCATCCCCTGATTATTGGAAAAAATTGATCTCGTAGAACGAAAGTCACAATATGAGTTTCGCAAGTGGAAACAGTATATATCTTTAACTATAAATGTCTAAAAGCACAAACTCTTCTGATCCTGCTGATCAATGCATCATGCATGCATGCATTTGGCTCATCAGTTAGGATCTGTGTTCTGCTTGACTCTTTCAATATAACTGATGGGAATTGTATTTAATAAGAGAAACTATCATATCAATACAGCTAATTTCATCTTATACAAATTCTCATGGAAAATGATGTATGAAGTTTCGAGGGCTCTTCTTACCTGTTGAAACTAGATTGGATTTTCATCACCTAAAGATCTCAATCGGTCATCTTGAGTCATTGTGACGTTGACCAGTCAAATCCATGTCGAGTGACGAAATAATTTGCATTGCTATACAATTTGAATCTTGACTTATAATTATATATATAAATCTTCATGTCGAAAAACAACATTTAGAACCATTTTTTTTTTAATGCTCACAATTTCTTATCAAGAACAGGGATAAATGTATGTTTAACAACGTAAATGGCTGTACAAACAATGTCGAAATCGATTTATCTTTGATCAATCTTTTTGGTTATTAAAGCTTTGGATTGATTTCTATTTTCTGTACAACATTTCCTAATTATGGTCCGTCAGATCATGCCCTGCCACGACGAAGGGTGCACCATGCATATAGAGTATTTTGTTTATAACTTTTTATAAACCCATAATATTTTGGAGTTGGTATTAGTGAGTTGGGCTTGTTAATAAAGAGCATTAATCAGGGTTTATGAGTTATGACTCAATCCACACACTTTTAATTCAGTTGTTTCTTTCTCAAGAAATTTATATAATTAGGTTTCTGCAGACTATATCCTTTGATCCCATGTTTTTCTCCTTATATGTCTTGAGCTTGTTAAATCGATCGATTTGATGATATAATTGGAGTAAATCTAACTTTTAGAGTCTCTAATTATTTTCAACCGTTCAAAACAAAAACAAGCTCTTAGTAAACCTAAGAATAAACACCTAAACTCCAACGGTAATATATACTCTTCGCTTCTACAATATTTAGCGTAATTAACCTTAAGGAGAATCCAAAGTGTTTTAAATAGATTTCACAGAAGTGATAATAATAGTCAAAGATCTCTATCATTCGAGACTTTCTAATAATAAACCAAAAGAGTTAGAGATCGAGATAGAGAGAGAAAGAGATTGATTCAATCTTTCTAGGATTTTTCAGACTGATCTTGTTTTTTTGAGTTTTTTTCTTGGCAAGAGGGACTTTTGTTTAACAGAATCACAAATATATTCATTAAGAAAGAGAGTCCAAATCTCTTTCTAATGGATTCTCCTGATTAACTCTTCTTTTTTTTCTTGGTCGAGAAATCGTTTTTTTCGATTTCAAAACTCGCAATGTCAAGCGGGAGGCTTTGCGGCTTCACGCCAAATCCAATAACCTTCTGTCGCAAGATCTCAAGATTGCAGGTCTTTTTTTTCTGACGTCTTTTATAAACTATACACCAAGTGTTCATTTGTGTTTTATAAGTTTAGTTGTGTTTTTGACAATGTTGTTTCTTATAGGTAGCAAGAGGGCTTGCTCTAAAAAGGCTTATCAAGGGAAAACACGATTTTAGACGAACAGCAACATCAAAGAACAATGTTGAGAAAAGGAAAAACAAAGAGATCAAACGCACAGTTTCAGAGATATCTTCTGTTGTAGAAGCTTCTCCAAAGAGTTTGAATTCTATAAAACATGTTTCTACTCCCCGTGCCGCGGCTTCTCCTATCTCGGTAAAGAATGGAAACAAGAAAGTGAATACACCTAGAAAGAACAACTTAGATGATTCTTCGCCAAAATGTATGGCAAATTTCATTTTGATGGTGGAGTTAAGGAAGAACATCTTTGCTTTTAGAGACATGATTGATTTACCTTCTCTTGATGGTTCTCTATCCGTCACCGAGGTTAGTCTGCGAAAAATAAACCTTTCTCTTAACGAACTTGTGTTCAGTTTATATGGGCATCTCTTCTTGAGTGTACATGCTAAAAACTTTAGGTCTTTTTTTGTTTTGTTTTTGAGTTTTTTTATAGATTATTACACAAACGATGAAGGATTTACAAAAGCTTTCTCCTGAGATTGTAACCATTAATCAATCTTTTGAAATGGAAGGAGCTGACATGGATAAGGTACACACATATATATATGATTTTAACCGATTTTTTGGAGTTACTTTATATAAACATACCGACAACAACAAAAAAACATAACAGTTCTTGAGTTAGTGTCATTTGTTTAGTTGATGAGTCTTGTTAATCTGATTGATGAATCCCAGAAATGCCCCAAAAACAGATGTTAATTTTCTTCTACGAAGATCTCAGAGCTATTGGGGATTCTTGGATTATGGATAGTGACTGGATATATCGATCTAAGTACAAAAACAGTGGTGTTGGCAAGAATAAGTCTGATCGTCTAGGTTTGTTTACTTCAACACTTTTTGTTAAGTTGAGAGTTTTGGTAATCATATAGAGACTAAGGTTTTTTTTTGATGTTTTCAGTGGAGCATGTATTAGCAGCTCTTGATGGACTAATCAAGACGACTAGAGAAAGGTTTGGTATGATGGATCTTGAATCTGAAGGAAGAAAGAGTTTTACACCAAAAGGTGTTACATCAGAAGCAAGAAGAAGCTTTACAAGATCTGCTTCTTATTCTGAAAGTAACAACTCTTTTTACCCATCTCCATTAACACCAAGATCAGTACTTCCAGGGACAATGCTAATGTCTAGTAACTCAACATCTCCAAGTCTCTGGAACTTGAGAGCTCAAGCTTTGGATAGGTTAAGCCCTGTTGATTTGAAGCGGTTTACTATGCAGATCTTGTCACAAAGAGATTCAGAGAGTGTTAATGATATGAAGATTGGTATCGAAGAAGAAAACGAAGATACTGATAAATTAGCAGAAGAGGAAGAGGAGGAAGAAGAAGGAGATAATGATTTCTCTGTTTTGGAAACAGAGAAGCATGATATTAAAACAGAGGATCATAGGGAAGGTTCTGAAACAGAGCATGACACTGAAGCAGAGCATAAAATCAAAGGCTCGGAAGGAGATAATGACATTGAAGCAGAAAATCACAGCGATGGTTCTGAAACAGAGCATGAGATTGAAACAGAGCATCACCATCATGAAGGTTTTGAAACAGAGGACCATAGTGAAACCACAACTTCAGAGACTAACTCAATAGATTCTTCCCAAAGAGAAGATTTCGTAACTAAATCGCCTCCACCTCCTCCACTTCCATCACCGCAGTCGCCTTCACCAACGGCCTTAATGTTAAACAATAAATCAACTCTTCTCTCACAACCACCACCCCCACCTCCATCACCACAGTCGGAACTCAAAGCTCCAGCTCCTCCACCGCCGCCTCCTATGTCAAAAGCCTCTGAAAGTGGAGATTTTTGTCAATATCCGAAACCAAAATCTATGAATGGATACAATGCTCCATCAATGCCGGCACCTCCTGCTCCACCAGGTAGTGTAAGATCCTTACGTGCCAAGAAAGCAACTAGCAAATTGAAAAGATCAGCACAAATCGCAAATCTCTATTGGGTTCTCAAAGGGAAGCTTGAAGGCCGAGGCGTTGAAGGGAAACCAACAAAAGCAAGTAAAGGTCAAAACAATGTTGCAGAGAAATCTCCTGTTAAAGGTGCAAGATCAGGAATGGCTGATGCACTTGCAGAGATGACAAAGAGGTAAATGACTTGCGTCACAAGTCCTATCTATATATTTGAGTTTACCTAAACTCTTTCATTTGTGTCACAGGTCAAGTTATTTCCAGCAAATCGAAGAAGATGTTCAGAAATACGCTAAAGCGATCGAAGAACTGAAATCTTCAATACAGAGCTTCCAGACAAAAGACATGAAAGAATTGCTTGAATTTCATAGCAAAGTAGAATCTATTCTTGAGAAACTAACTGATGAAACTCAAGTATGTTTTATCCTCGTCTTTTGAATTGGCTCGCGGTTTCTCTCGGGAATATAATTTTTTTTTCTATTGATTATATAGGTGCTTGCGAGGTTCGAAGGTTTCCCTGAAAAGAAACTAGAAGTAATAAGAACAGCTGGTGCCTTGTACAAGAAGTTAGATGGGATTCTAGTTGAGCTCAAGAACTGGAAAATTGAACCTCCAATAAACGATCTTCTAGACAAGATAGAGCGTTACTTCAACAAATTTAAAGGAGAGATTGAAACAGTTGAGCGAACAAAAGATGAAGACGCTAAAATGTTTCAGAGACACAACATTAACATCGATTTCGAAGTTCTTGTTCAAGTCAAAGAGACTATGGTTGATGTTTCATCAAATTGCATGGAGTTAGCACTAAAGGTATATATAGTTATATATAAATCAAGAAAGTGATTCGTGAGAATGATTGATTGACTCTTCATGTTTTCTAGGAGAGGAGAGAAGCAAACGAGGAAGCGAAGAACAGTGAAGAAAGCAAGATGAATAATATGAAGGCAGAGAGAGCTAAGAGGCTATGGAGGGCATTTCAGTTTGCTTTCAAAGTTTATACATTTGCAGGAGGTCACGATGAACGAGCAGATTGCTTAACAAGACAACTTGCACATGAGATTCAGACAGATCCTGATCAAACAAATTCATCGATCATGTCTTGAAAACAACGACATAAAAAAAGCTTAGCTTCGTCACATGTTTTACTCTTTGAAACCAAGAAGAGATTGATGCGTGAAGATGATTACAATAGTACATTTTTGTGTATCTCTCTAGTTTTGAGTTGGACCAATGCAAAGAGACAGAAAACAGATTTTGTTTTCCTTCATTTCCTATATACATATATAATTACACGACAAAGAAGCAATCAAGCAAAGATCTTGAGAAACGAAAAAGTCAACATAGTGGTCATCTTTAGAGAAGACAAGTTTCAAAAGAATCCATCAAAGTCAACGACATAGTCTTCTTCAAGAACATTATCTTCCATGATCTTGTCGTTAACTCTATGATCCTCTCTTTCTGCTTCTGTATCTTGTTCGATCATATCCATATCTTCTTCTTCTTCTTCTTCTTCTTCTTTTTGTAGGGCTTCTTGAGAGAAGGCTATTCTCTTTACTTCTCTTTCATCTTCTGTCTTAGTAGTCGTATCTGTCAACAATATCAAATCATTGTGATCGATCTATCAGAGTCAAATAAATCAGACAAAACAAAGCACTAGACTTGAGTCTATGGGTTTTGTAATAATAACAACTTACTTATCTTTCTTTTTCCTAAAGAAGTTTCATCTTCATCTTCTTCGGATTGGAAAAGAGTTTCCACTTCTGGGATCTCTTCTTTGTTTACTTCCATTTCCATGGGAGAAGAGCTTGAGAATTCATAGGAAAACATAATGGTGCTGTCTTTTGACATTTCGAGACGAACATATCTCTTTACACAAAAAAACAAAAGCCTAGTGGATATATCCAATAACGAACTCTGGCTTTGAGTAGATAGAGGACTTTGTAGTACTGTAGTACCTTTGTTTATCTTAAGGACTTTCAAATTACTAGAATATCCCCGGTCTAGCTCTACTCAATGTTTTATGGTTTATATAGTAAGAGTACTAATCTTGTCAATACCAAATTGAGTGGAGAGCCATTGAGACATGCTAAAACTTGATTTTATGGTTCGATCTTTCCAACTCTCCAGAAGGTCTGCGTACATACTCATGAAACCAATGTTTCTTCTCTGCATAAAGCTCAGAATTTGAAGTCGTTCTTCTTCTTATCATGCTTCTTCCGCCTCCTTTCCAAGTCATTCTGCAATCATATATCCAAAACTCCAAATATTATTAACCTCAAAATTATTATCAGTGGTTACTGTTCTTTATTTGGGAGTTTTTTCACAAGCTTGTACAGTACCACTACAACCATGTCACTAAATCTCTCTGGCTTAATCAGCAATTTCTCCTCCTCTCTTCCTCCTGGTACTTTCAAGCATCACAACGTTAACGTTTTTTTGGTGGTTAAAAAATTCAACTGTGTTACTACTTACTTGGCAGGTAAAACGTTGTCCATGGCTTCTAACTCTTCTGGCTGTAAACTCACCTCCACTTGGTCCGTCTTTTGCCCTCTCAGCACATCAACCTGTACTCAACACCATAAATCGTCACTTATCAATTTGTTAAATCGCAAATTTAAGGATCCATACACTAGGCCTAATTACAACTACCCTGGTCCTAACAGCATCAACGTTTCAACACAGATTATAGCTAATATTTCATGAGCACTTGTCAAGAAACCTTTTTCCCGTTAAACCTTCGCCTCTAATCCGCATCTTATACCATATCATTATTCGCGTTTATGATATGGTAAAGACATGAGAAGCTGGCCAAATTAAACTATCTACCCAATTCAAATTTCTACCTCATGAACTACAATACAGCCACAGATTGCTTACCCTTTTGGCTCCTGTCTTCTTTTGAGTACCATTTTTTATGACATATGTATGAGTGGTTCCCAGTACTGTTCCAGGAGTGTTATGTTCACTCTTTTCTTCAAGTGCCTTCAAGAACAAACAGAAAACAGAAAGTATCATGGTGAAACAATTCCCAGTATCAAAACAATATAATTACAAAATCGAGAAGATAATATGAAACTGCTACTTATAAACACAAGGTTTTGCACCTGATAAAGAGGCCTTTCAGGCTCCTTTCTCTGCTCCTTACGAAGTTCAATGCCATCAGGCGTCTCAATGCCAGTAGGATTGCTGAAAGGAAGGGACAAACTAAACAATAAATACAAGCAAAACTCATCAATATGTATACCATACAACTAAAATTTGTACCTTGACAGTGAATCCATAGATTCAGTGCCATCTTCCATTTCATCGTCGTCCATCTCTACTTCTTGCTCCTCTTCCTCCAAATCACTCCAGTGTGTTCTCTTGTCAATAGGTTCTTCCTAAGTTATTGACAAAAACACAATTCATCATATAACCTTATATCTTAGGAAGAATTTTACAGTTTCTAATTAACTTGATCACTGCCACACAAGCTATCTATTTGAAAAGCTAGCTTCCACATACAATATTTAAACATACACGGCTAGGCATACTATGAAGTTGTTAAAGGAAGGCAAAAACGGTTACCTCATAGTCAGGCTGATCTTGGTGCTGACACCAAAAACATCTCCATTCAATGGACGTCCGTACTGTATAACATAATAGGAGCATTTAAATCAGGAATTTTGAGATGTGGATACGACGGAGGAGGACCATATCTCTGTTCAATAGGTATTAAAAGCAATAAACAGCTCAAACAAGTATCAGAATCACCAAATAGATAGATAACAATAAACTCACTTGCATATTAATTAACTTTGGGGGAGGAGCAGCTTCAGGCATACCAAGAGCTTCTTTTAGGTTTCATTTTCCTCAGCTTAACCTATTAAACAACTCATAGTTGGATTCACATACATAAATCATATAATATAGAATGAAATAAAGAGAACACAAAAAAATGACTTCGAATTCTTTCCCATCAAAATACAGTTCACCTGGTTGCATCACTTTGCTCACTTTGCTTTTGCTTTAGTTTCGTATCATCTTCTTTCTCAATGTAAGCCTGCATGTCAAACACATACAAGAATTAGCTCAATTTTTCACTAACTTGATCCAACTAATAGGACGACAGGCGTTAAACATCCGAACTTAAATCAATGAAACATGAATTTAAATTTGAAAGTTATAGTGCTCTCATTAGGGACACCAATAAAAGAAACAGAATGCATTTAAAATTGGGCAAAAATATATATCATTTAAAACCACATTTGTATGAACACTGTCTATAGTTAGTGGTCCTAGTGATCCTTGTGTATAAGGAAGGTAAAAAAGGATGGCACAGCCTAGATCAAACCTGAACGTCAAATACATGCTTGCAAAGTTGAAGTGCAAATGTAACTTTTACTCAATACCCCGATGGCTTTTCCTCAAGCATAAGAACTAAACCTTCTACAGATATGAGCTAGTTATATATGAAGGTCAATAGACTATATAAATCAAAACTTTCATTAGGAATTTACCTGTCTAATTTTCTCTATTCCGGTTGCAGCAATAATGAGGAAAGTGAAACGGCTGCTTCTCAATACCCTGCTTCCCCTGCATTCAAGAAACCCCGTTGAGATGCCACTAAGTTGAGAATGAGCAATCATTACAATTGCTAACACAAAGAAACTTACTTGAACACTAAGATTAAGGGAAACCAAGGTGCATTTAAAAGAAAGACCATTGGCAAGACAGCAAAGAACAAACAATGATTAAAAAAGAATGGCTCCAGATGTCTGCCTAAACTACAATGCAGAAACTCTTTTCCTCGAAAAAAGCTTAATAGTAGTCTCAAACACCATAAAATTTATAGGCAGACAAATGAAGACACCTCTTCAGAAACACCAACAAGTCCAGGCTTCATGGTCATCACATATGTTCCCCTGCAAGAAGCACATATATGGGTATAAGGAAACATAATTGGCATCATGAAATGTACAACACTCACAAACCACAGACACACATTCTCAATTACAGAATCAATTTTAAAAGATCACAAACCTGCAAATATGTTCTCTTTTGAGACCAATGCCTTGGCACAGGAACTGTATTCCTATAAGATTTAGAAACACCAACAACTTTGGATCACCCGAAAAAGCATCCCAGACCTAAATGTTACAAAAGGAATAATATTAAAATAAACAGGAAGAGCTACACGAGAAGTAGGGATTTACTCTCTGTAAGAGAAAGGGCCTGGCTTGTAATTTAACCACAGCATAAAAATTCCAAATTACAAAAGAAATCACATTAAAGTTGCAATGCCACAATATTACCACTTCAAACTTACTGAACACAAATCAAGTTCATCATCATAGTAACATAATTCCAGTAAGATACTCACTCATGTTTCCAACCAACATTCCATAGCTCAAATCAGAAAACAACATATGAATGCAATGTATGAGTCCACTAGAGTTAAATTAAGAAATTTGAAATGCTCAGGGAGAGACACAATAGAGAGAACCAAAAAGAGAGTCTGTAGATATACTATGCCAGTATGCCGTCAAGAATATTGAGGAAAATAATATATTGTTATACAGAGGATAAAAATACTCACATACCTCGACCATATCAGGCCTAGCAGAAACCTGTTTCCAGCTCAGCAATCTTCGATTCTTCATCCTCCGATGTGTTTGCTAAAAAGTTAGTAGCAAACGAGAAAAAAGAAACCAACTATAGCATCTCATCGAATACAAGGAAAAGCAGTGGTTTCATGACATACCTTTTTCTTCTTATAAGAGATGCTTTTTTTTTTCTGCTGCCCTTCCTCATCTGAACCTGAATGCAGAAACTCTTTTCCCCGAGAAAAGCTTAATAATAGTCTCAAACACCATAAGATTTATAGACAGACAAAAGTAATGAAGACTCCTCTTCAGAAACACCTACAAGTCCAGGCTCCATGGTTATCACAGCTCTGCAAGAATCACATATATGGGTATAAGGAAACATAATTGACATCATGAAAATGTACAGAACTCTGAAACCACGGACACACATTGTTAAGTACAGAATCATTTTAAAAGCTCACAAACCTGCAATTATTTCTCTGTTGAGAACCAATATCTAAGCACAGGAACTGTATTCCTATAAGATTTTAAAAACACCAACAACTTTGGATCCCCTGAAGTAGCATCTTTAAATATACTATGGCGTCAAGAAGATTAAGCAAAAAAATATATTGTTATACAGAGGATAAAAATACTCCCATACCTCAGACCATATAAGGCCTAGCAGAAACCTGCTTCAGCTTAGCGATCTTCAATTCTTCATCCTCCGCTAAAGGCTGAAGCAGAGAAAACAGAATTTAAAGATTTATATTGCCTAAAAAGGTAGTAGCAAAGAGAACAAAGAAACCAACAATAGCATCTCACAGAATACAAGGAAAAGCAGTGATTCCACGACATACCTTTTCTTCGTATGAGAGATGTTTTTTTCCTTCTGCTGCTCTTCCTCATCTGAACCTGAATCCGAATCAAGCTACTTCTTCACACCTGCCTTTTCTTCTTACCATCCTCCTAGCAAAGAAAACAGTTTCGTTAAGGTTCAAAGTCGACTAACTTTAAGGTCATCCTCAGGGGCAGAAAATAGTCATACCTAATATATGATGCAACAGTTCGTTATCCACAACATATTCAGTAACCTACGAAAAAAACTCAATCGACAAAAAAAGATAATTGATTATTACCTCTAGAAATCAAACAGCCTCAAAAACTACACAAGAGAATGGTACATGAAACGAAAAAAAAAACCCTAGAAATACCGTGACAAGATAGAGAGTGAAAATAAGTACACAAAACTACCTGCTTCTGTGGATAAACATTCTCCTTGGAATCAGAAGCACCAGAAACGTTCCCTTCTTCTACATCGACTTCGGATTCTTTCTGCGACGATCACTCTCGCGAGAGTTTTTGGAGGAAACGGAAGCGTTAGTTGTCGAGAAAGTATCGCCGTTGGGAGAGACCCCATTATCAACCATTGTGTTTCGACCGTTATGTTCGTCCGAGTCGGATGCGATCAAGAAAAGTGATGATGCAAACATTAAATACACAAATACACCGACGTCTCAAAAAAGGAAAATTTACTAATCGCATCTCGGTTTGGTTTGGTTTAGTCCGGTTCAACAATTGTTGTTCTACATCACTGGTTCTATTGGGTTCTTTGTCACAACGTTAGTTATTCAAGTTATAAAAAAACATTCTTGATTCGAAAATTATTTATTTACATATTTAGCAACAAAAAGAAAAAGAAAAAACTAACAAACAGATGTATAATGAAATGTGTGTACAAAAAACCTTGTATATGTACTCAATAAGAAACAAAGTAAAGCCACAAAAATAACTAACATCTTTTGAGGTTCCTTACGCCAATTCATCCATCACCTCCCGTCTAGAATTGAGCTGTTCCAAGACGAAATAGACACAGACAAGGACTGAAGTCTGACCTGCTCCATAGTCGGATGCGACGAGCTTCCATACCAAAACTCCTGTGAGCTCCCACGAGATCCCATCTTCATCAGCATCCATGACTCTATATCTTCACAACTTTCCGCTTCAAATATCTCTGCTTTGTCACCTTCAAACACTTGTACCACTTGTCTCATCGACGGTCTCTTGGCCGGGTCAGGATGTGCGCAAAGCAATCCAAGCTGCAAAACTCTCTCGGCTTCATCAATCGCATGATTCATGGCTTGTGTCTTCATCATCCTTGGATCAAGCCCATTTAGAATCTCACCTTTTTCCATTAATCCCCAAACCCAATCCATCAACTGTTTCTTCCCTTCTTCTATAGGTCTTCTCCCACACATTACTTCAAGAACCAGTATCCCGTAAGCAAACACATCTGTTTGTGTTGATGCACGCCCAGTCTTAACCACTTCAGGAGACAAATAGCCAGCCGTACCAACCACCCTAGTGGTCCTCGCCACTTGCTCGTGTCCATGAACCCGAGCTAACCCAAAATCACTAAGCCTCGGTATCATATCTCGGTCAAGCAACACGTTGCTAGCTTTGATGTCTCTATGTAAAACCTTGGATTCCCATCCTTCATGCAAGTACAATATTCCTGAAGCCACACCTTTCAAAATCTGGATCCTCTCTTCGCAGCTAAGTATAGTTTTGTTCTCATCGCTTTCGAAGATCCATCTGTCTAAACTTCCATTCTCCATGTAATCATAGATCAACATGAAACTACCAATCTCTTTCTTGCACCAACCTCTTAAAGTAACTAAATTCCGGTGCTTTAACCGCCCAAGACTCGAGATCTCAGCCACAAACTCCCTCATCCCATCACTACTCTCCTGCGAAATCCGCTTAACCGCAACTTCCACAGCCCCTCCTTGTAACAAACCTTTATACACTTTCCCATTCCCACCAATCCCAATCACATTCTTCTCATCGAACCCCTTAGTCCCGGATTCAATCTCCTCATACGGAATCCGATGAGGCCAATACTCCATTTCCCAATCCTCCATCAACGCTCTCTTCCTCGCCCTCTCTAGTCTCCTTCTCACCACACCAAACAACATCAAACCAATCAAAGAAACGATCAACATACAGATCAATGCCAATACAGCAATAAACCATTTCTTTTTAACAATTGAGTCCTTTGGTAGAACAAACGAAGGCAAACCAGTCGTGATCAAACTATCACTCAAGGAGAAATTCGAGTTACTAAAACTCCAAGCTAGAATCTTATGACTCTGAACTAATCTCCCTGTAGCTGCAGTGAATCCAACAAACATCTCATCTTCCACAACGCCAGAAAGATTCAAAGGCGTACTAAGCAAAGGAGACTTAGGTCGAATCTTACCAGCGACTTGCATAGTAACATTAAGTACAAAATCTCTGTAATCAATCCAAACTTGATAGTTTCTTCCATCGTTAAGCTTCAACGGCTTAAACACTCCGTCATCAGACCAATACCCAGATGTGTTTGAATACATTGAATGAAGCGAATTAACATCGATGCCAACATGATTAGCATCGATGTCGCTGAACTCTTGATTAGCAAAAACGTCAAACTCAACTCCAAAGATGTGATTACTAGGGTTACCATTGTTAGTCAAATTGAAGAGACCCAAGTGTTGAGCAGAGCTAGAACCGTTAATTCCAGTGGTGGGTGCGAAGAGGAAGACGATTCCGTGACCAGGAAGCGTGTTCTTGTAAGGAGCCATGGCGAAGATGAAAGAAGTAGAGAAAGGCAAAACAGAGGAAGTAACTGGATCTTTTGTCGGGATGATTTTGCTGTACAGAGCACGACCAGTCTCAAACGATGTCTGGTTGGTTAAAGTTAGGATATTGGATTCGATTGTGGCGATCCCGTAGAGGGAGATACGAGATGAAGAGTCATTGAAGCCGTTGAAGACGAAATCAACGGCTGAAACTGAGTTTAGGAGGATGAGAGAAAGGGTAAGAAGAAAGAGAAGAGCTTTCTTCATGGCAGAGGAAGGAGACGAAGACGAAGAGGAAGAGAGTAAGCGTGAGGATGTTTGGTGTCATAATTGGGGTAAAGAGGCACTGAAGACAGTTGTTGAAAGGGAAAGTTGAAACTTGAAAGGTTTCCAGGCAAAGGTTTGATCTTTCTTTTTCTTTTTTATTTATTCTCTGTTCACTGTTTTTTTCGTCAAAGCTTGTGACTTTTGGGATTTGGGTTTTCTACTTTGGACTTTTTGTTTTTGGTCGCGTCACTTATCCGTATTAATGATTTTTAAAATGCGGACTGAAGCGTGTTACGTAGACTATAGTGTTAAAGCATAGGTTAAAATTAATATATACATTTTGATTAAAATAAAACATATAGATTTTATATAGTATAAATTGTATTTGATAACATATTTATGTAGTAAATAACTAAATCTAGTAAGTTATCTATTTTGGCGGATGAATATAGTAAGTTATTTGATATAACATTTTTATGGCAGAAGAAGAAGTTACACTTCAAATTCTTCTAAGAATCTTTCCAATCTTTTAAGATTCGATTCCTTCCGAGACTTTCTAATTTCAGGGCGGATTTCCTGGCAAAAAAAGCTCGACTCCGTAACTGCCTTTTCTCCTATATGAGTACTTCAAGGTCCAGTTGGCTCACCCTAGCGGAGAGCTGCTTTCCGACAATGCCATAGTTTGGTTGTTTCTTTTGTCGACAAAAAAAAAAAAAATTTACACTTCTTCAACAACAACAAAGGAAGAAGAAGTTACACTTGGGGTTAAATTTAGTTGTTATATTTGAGGATTGATAAAGGTTTGAGCAGTAATGCAAGCTGTGAAGTGGGAAAGTTAAATGCTTTCGTGAGAAAGGAAAGGTTTGATTGTCTTTACTCGTCAAAGTTTATGACTTTTAGGACTTGGGATTGTACTTCGTAATTTCTCATTTGTACTCTTGGTCTCATTTTGGTTGTTGTGGAGTATATATTAAGACTATATTAATACAGTTTAATACAGAAGAAAGATTTGAAAGTTTCCTCTTTTAAGGAAAAAATATCGATCGTATGCAGACTTTTTTTTGGAATAGTTGTGTTGATGTTACCAACACGTGACATTGACATATGAATACCATTTCAGTATAAACTCTACACAACGTGTTTGTGTTGCCTAGACAGAAGCTTTGGATCGGTGTCGACGTAAATGCATGGCAAGTTTTTATAGACGTAACACTAAAATGAGAAACATTGACTTTTACTACTTATAAAATAGATTGTACCGATCTAGCTAGTGGACACTGGACAGGATCTAGCTATCACTACTAGTGAGTAGTGACTACAAACACAAAAATCGTATTTTGTATACCGTTGTGGGTTGTGACCGAAACCATTTTAGTCATAGAGAGTAGTCAAATGCCCAAATATTGGAAAATTGTGAACATGAGTAGTATATATTACTAGTATTTTTTGAGTTCTTGTACTTCTTGATCAGAGAAAATTTTGTAACCAGTAGCCAACTCAAATACCACCACTAAATAGCTTTATTAACCCCCAAGGCAGAGACATTTCGAGGAACTAAAGTCAATTTACATAATATGAGATAAGGATCAAAATGTGAGTTTGACTAATAGAAAAATCAAAATATAGTAGCTATTTATATCGAGATGCGTTGAATTTTTGTAAATGTCAAGGATCATTTATTCATATCAGACATGAAAAGGACCTTTTCGTGACCTCGACGAATAATGTGAATCTAATTTATTGAACTCATTTGCTATTTTCATAACTCATCAAGATCTTATATTTATTATATCTTCAGGAGATATATACATGAAAGTCATCTAAAATATTGTGACGTCTACAATATTATAACAATTATATATTATTGGAAAATTCCATTGGTCGTCTAAGAATTCTCTCATGATGAAATATTAATTTATGTCTTCCAAAAATTTGTTTAAAAAAAAAAAAAAACAATAATATAAAGTATCGATGGAGGACGACGTTAGATTTTGTTTTTTATTATCATAACAATAATTATTGTGCTTTGAACATGAATGGTGACCCATCGAATGTTACTAGCACAAATATAATTCAGTATTCTACATGTTGGTAATTAATTGTAGAAATATGCATGTCAACTAATCGTTAGTATAGATTAAAGATTATTTACTGTATAAAATATCAAATAACAAATATTTTACTTCATGAGAGATGATGATATTACGTACATTATATATCCCAAATACGTCTGAAAGAACACATAACACACCAAGGTTCACTAAAATACAGAACGAATGAAGAATCTGCCGAACTTCCCACCTCTATTTGTTTATAAAATATGTGCAAAGTCGTCAATGGCGTAACCACAATTATTACGTTCGTTGACTTTGGCTTTGTTTGTAGTATTAAAAAAAAAAATTCAGAACCAACCATTGTTTGATATAATCTGATATTTCCAATCCAAATCAATCTCCTAAATATAAATAAAATTATATGTTTTTATCATATACTCCATTAAGGAGAACCTTAATGGAGTATAAGAGAACTCAAACCTTAATGGCTTCAACTTAATTAAAGATAACATAATTCATTCAACAATTAGATTGCCATAATTAGGTTTTGACCAACACATATAGCAAAAACCTTTTACTTAGCCAGCTTTAACATGACTTATTACTTAAGTTCCTTGATTTCTTGGAAGCTATTATTAACAATCGTCAATACTCAATATTGGCCAATAGGGTTCTAGAGTAGTTATCTTTTCTTTTGTATATTTTAAATTATATTTTCTTATGCAAAACAATATCTGAAATAGTTTAGGAACAAATGAGAAAATACAAACATAGTTATAATGACTCATTCATGAATAGAGATATGATTTATTTTATTCTTCTCGGTATTTTTCCTTCCTCTCCGTCTCTCTTTCCCCTCTTCCTCCTATTTTCATAAATGAAAACTTACCACTTGTTATACAATACCGTTTTAACAATTAACATATAGCATAGACAATATCAATTATTTCAAAGTGAAGTATTTGTACAAGAGAGAATAACAATTTTTTTAGTGTTCTATATTATTAGTGAAAACGTTGATGACGAGTTCAAAATTTTTGAGTCGCAATTCCGAAAAAATCACATAGTAGAGAATAAAATGAAACATAAGAACTTTTTACAACTCTAAGAAAACTCAAAAACTAAAAAAATGAGAAAAAAAAAACAATGACTATGTTCATATTGTTATGAAAAAGGATTTACCCACATTTATGAACCAAATGTAGGTGTAGAATTAAGATTTTCTATATATTAAAAAAAGGAAATAATGGAGAATTTTTTTTGCCAAGGTGTGACCATCCAATTCATTTTCAACATTTTTAAAAACTTAATTTATCAACATTTATTTTCTTTTAGGACAAATAATTTTATTAATGTTATATCGAAATTACAAAATTAAGATACAAAAAAAGTGGAAAATAAATGATTACGTCAAAAGATATATGCGCCATATAACTAGAAGATACATTTAAAAATGAATTTGACTATGCTTTTAGCCTTAACCATTAAAAACTTATTTAATATATTAAGTTCATCAGCATTTAACCTAAAAATGTCGGTTTTAAATCTCTGTTTTTTTAACAAACTTCAGAGATTAAGGCGAATCTGCTTCTCACCCATGGAAATAATGCAAAACCCCACATGGCTTCAGCAACTAGGCTCAAGCTTCTCAACCATTAAACTTCTTCGTTCTCGTTTTGTCTTTCCGATTGTCCTATGTTTTTCACTCTTCATTATCGGAAACAGGCGTTTTCGAGTTTTTACCTTTTTAGGGTTTTTTCATTGTTATCACCTTCACCACCACCATCATGATCATCATCATCACGAAGAACAACGATGTACAGTAAAACCTCTAAAAATTAATAATGTTGGGACCATGAAAATCTATTAATTTATAGAGGTTTTAATTTCTCATAAATTAATAATTGTTAATTTATAGAGAGATTTTCGTAATTTGGAAAGTTTTTCGAAAAAAATAATTAAAAATAAAAAGTTTAATCATGATAACTACTATTTTATATAATCAATTACAAAAAAAATTATTATTATTATGTATTGAATTAGAATGCTAACAATTTTTTATCTAGTAAAATATTAGAAATAAAATCTAACAAAAACTAATGTGTATATATATATATATATATATTGAAAATTTTACATAATTATTAATTTATAATATTGACGGGACCATATATTTATAAAAATTATTATCTTATTGTTTTATCGAAATGTGTCTAAAATTACATTGGTCCGGAGAAATTTCTTAATTTATAGAGATTATTAATTTATTGAATATTAATTTATGGAGGTTTTACTGTATTTGGGTTTTTTGTTTTGATTTTAATATAATATAAATTTGGGGAAACAAAATAAAAATAAAAATGAACTGATATACAGTGACTGTCCGATGTGAATTAAAATCCAAAAACTAATTAAAAAAAAAACAAACAAACTGTAAATTCATCAGATTGTTTCTTAAATGGTCTTCGCATCTGCAAGTTCGTTCCTCATCTTGTTAAATATGTTCAGTCAGTATGTGTTTTTTGATCGAATTGGTCCATGCGACCCGAGGGAACTAATTATGTATTTAGCGTTACAGTTATTGGAATTTATCCAGTCAGAATATGAATTTGAATGTTTTCCCTATTAGGGATCGATCAAATGTGAACCGGTTATTTACATTATACACTTAAACCATTATTACAACAAATCTACTGAGTCATTCCACTTACATAAGTGAGTGAGTCTTGACCTCATTTGCATCAATCTGAATAAATCTCAACATTCTTGTTTCTTGATTTCAATCGCCAGCCAATACTAGCTTGATCATATATGTTTCTTACAATGCTGCGGATAATCCCTTTTTAGTTTCAAGCCGCGAGTTGCAGAGACCCGCAAGCATCAGAAGCATGCTTGCCTTCTGTAAAAACCAAGTTCCCTCTCACAAATGTTGAAACCACTTTGCCTGATAATCTTCTTCCCAGATAAGCTGAGATACTCTATATAAATTCACCACAAGAAAAGCAAACACAATATTAGGCATTCGGGTTTCAACATTAGCTCTAATTTGGTATTTTTCTTGTAAAGACTGTCTACATACGGGGTG